GGGGGGGGGAGGGGGGTCATATGCTTCTCCAATTTCGGTCAAAGCCCTGCTGAGATGAAATTTGAGCAGTGTATAGCCAACTTTACCGATTCATGTCATATGTGACTCGGTCCCACTTGACTGGTAACACGAGATCTCACAAACATTTCATTTCACTTGGGACGCATATGTTAGAAGTCCCTGATTTCCCCTCAGTAGTAGACTTCCCGTCTCATCTGTTTACCAAGACATTCTAGTTTCTGAATCAAAACAGGATTTCAAGCGTCACTACAAAAGTTCACAGACATACAGAGTAACAAATGAGTAAAAGTGCCGATAATACTTACCGAGAATCGGGTGCTGAGGAAAGCCCCTTCTGTAATATTCCAGAGAAGACACATGATGATGATGATGACGACGACGACGACTTTTGTGAGAGATGGACAGATGGATGAAATAGAGAGATAGATAGATAGATAGATAGATAGATAGGGGTGCAGAATTCCTATCGCCCGCACCCGAACGCGTGGCACATTAGTACCTGCATTCCGGTACAGTATGATCTGCAAAAATACTGCATGCATGCGTTCGAGTGATCACACAGTGGGCGGGGGGTGTGACTACGGTGCTATTGACTTCAATGCACCGCCACGCCCCCCTCCCGCCCCTGAACACAGGAAGCCAGCCAGGCTGCGATAGAGTGCGTTCCAGAGGCTGACCGCTCTGGAGCGCACCGTTTGTGGTGTGAACCGGCTTCAGGCAAGCAGGGCTAAATGTAGAGCGGGTACAGCTACCGCTCATTATGTGCAAGTAATCTGGGCGGCTGTACAACTGTCCCCTCTGCTGGCACTCCACCCTTCAAAGTCCCCGCCCATTGTTTCCAGGAGATGGAGAGAGAGAGAGCGAGAATGAGAGGGAGAATGAAAGAGAGAACGAGAGAGCGAGAGCGAGAAAGAGAGCGAGAGCGAGAAAGAGAGCGAGAGCGAGAGCGAGAAAGAGAGCGAGAAAGAGAGCGAGAAAGAGAGCGAGAGCGAGAAAGAGAGCGAGAGCGAGAGAGAGCAAGAAAGAGAGCGAGAGCGAGAGCGAGAAAGAGAGCGAGAGCGAGAGCGAGAGAGAGCGAGAGAGAGCGAGAGCGAGAAAGAGAGCGACAGTCTCAATGTGTCGTTAGTTTTGCTTTCAATAAAGCTTTGAGTTTCTGCGTTTGGTTTGGTATCTCAGGAGACGTCATTCTGTCTTTCTGATGATTCATATACATAGAGTTATTTCCTCCGCAGTGCTCAGCAATTTGCAGGGTGAATGGAGCTGCGGTCACCCAGCATACATCAGATCAGCACCCATCACATGTATCACGTTGCCCCTTTTATGCTTCACCAGCTGCGGTCATGTGATTGAGGGGAACACTTTCAATGATAGCATTGTTTTCCGAAACACGAGTCTGTGTTATATCGCATAATCACAGCAGTGCCGCGTCCGAGAGTGAGCTGCAACTGTGCAATTCAGGGCTCATTAACACTGAAATACATTTAAAGAGGAAGTGAACTCTGCTACGAGCGTGCATCTTTTTTGGCCAGTCACCAGGATTGCCTGCGGTCTGTCTGCAGCTGATCTTCCCTCCATTACTGTCTTACCATGTGCTGTGAGTGTGTGGACATCTTGGTAGAGGCAGGGCTTTGTTTCCTCATGTCAGAGCCTCCAGCAAGAGCACTGAATCTCACTCAGAACCTCCTGAGACGAGCATCCAGAGGCAGCAGTGCCTTAGATCTAACACTGCAGATATTCTTCAGGAGGAAATTCAAATAAAAGCTAATTTTTCCTATGTACTGCTTAGGCACCATTAACATTTCCCTATATCAGGGACGTGCGGTCAGGGGAGGCAGGTGAGGCAGAGTTTCCAGCCATTATGGAAGAAAAAGCCGTCACATTCAAGTCTGCAGCGGACAGCTTTTTCTCTATTCACAGCGGCTTGTAACAGGTTATGGACGGAGCGCTGCCTGGCCTGTAACAGCGACTTGTAACAGGTTATGGGCGGTGCTTCATCCGGCTTTTGACAGCTATGTTAGGTTACACAGCAGCAGCCTTCCTTGGGCGTAACCTAACACAGTGAGATCAGAGCTACAACAGCCTCTGAATTGGAGTCAGAGGCTTCAACTCTGTGGCTGGTTTTGACATATGGCAAAGCACTGATAGCATCCATCTGGTCCCGAATAGTATGGGGGTCAAAGGGGAGAACAGATTTTTCTGAAAAATTAAGCTTGGAGATTTTCAAGTGGCTCCAAAGTACCTACTGCTGACTCTTTCTCTGCCTGTGCTCTTACATTTGGATGTGGGCAGAGAGAAATAATACCTAAATGTCACTTTTGGTACATCAATACCACAGTCAGTCAGCAGAGATTGGGTCAAGGCTGGCAAGCTTATTCCTCCAGTGACCATGCTAAAGCGCTAGTCACTACGTACCCAAATTATAGGCAACACTACAGAAAAGTCCATAGCCACAATTGTCACCCTTATACAGGAAGTGGCTCGTCAGTGCTATTACCCACAGGATCACCAGGCATGGAAAATACCAATAGTAAGATTTGGATAACAATCTGCAGATGAAGGCGGACACAAGCGGACTGGTAAAGATGAACTCCAGCCAAGAATTAAAAAACAGCAAATGATCAATGTTTTTTTCAAATACAACGCGCACAAATACCTTAAAATTGACTTGATGTCGGCCTCTTGTAATGCCCCTGTGCAGCAGCACTCAGACTGGCACAGAGGGCAGTACTTTGGGCCAATCTGGAGTCCTGCATTCCTGTATGCTGACAAGGAACATGTTGACAGGAGAAGAGAGTACATAGATGACTATATCAGTCTGCTGCTGCTCCTTCATTGTCCAATCACAGGTTGGAGGTGGGGAGGCAAAAGAGCAGTGCCGTTTAAAGCAGATCTTGCAGGACACTGCAGGGTCCGCTTATAACATCCAGGGCCCCTTTCCCCAGCAAAAATCTAATAAAGAGAGTATGCCAAAGAGTACGTGCAAGTTAGATTGCATAGTTACCTTACCAGAAGTCATTGCCATTCTTCTGGGAAGATTCCAATGCAAAGCAAATCTTCCAAGACGACAACTCCAGTCCGGGGGTTGACTGGCAACTTTGAGCCCAGGGGGCAAATACAACCCAGAGGCCCATGGTGCAGCGAGGTTGCCTGCACATTTGGTGGCCATTCCCCCAGCAGCCACCTCGTGCATGCTCTCTTCAGGTCCCGCAGCACTACACAGCCAGCCAATAGTAGGAGGTCAGTCTCCCTCCCAGCCTGGCTGTCTTACCCTGGCTGTCTCTCCTCGCTCTCTCCCCTGGCTGTCTCTCCTCGCTCTCTCCCCTGGCTGTCTCTCCTCGCTCTCTCCCCTGGCTGTCTCTCCTCGCTCTCTCCCCTGGCTGTCTCTCCTCGCTCTCTCCCCTGGCTGTCTCTCCTCGCTCTCTCCCCTGGCTGTCTCTCCTCGCTCTCTCCCCTGGCTGTCTCTCCTCGCTCTCTCCCCTGGCTGTCTCTCCTCGCTCTCTCCCCTGGCTGTCTCTCCTCGCTCTCTCCCCTGGCTGTCTCTCCTCGCTCTCTCCCCTGGCTGTCTCTCCTCGCTCTCTCCCCTGGCTGTCTCTCCTCGCTCTCTCCCCTGGCTGTCTCTCCTCGCTCTCTCCCCTGGCTGTCTCTCCTCGCTCTCTCCCCTGGCTGTCTCTCCTCGCTCTCTCCCCTGGCTGTCTCTCCTCGCTCTCTCCCCTGGCTGTCTCTCCTCGCTCTCTCCCCTGGCTGTCTCTCCTCGCTCTCTCCCCTGGCTGTCTCTCCTCGCTCTCTCCCCTGGCTGTCTCTCCTCGCTCTCTCCCCTGGCTGTCTCTCCTCGCTCTCTCCCCTGGCTGTCTCTCCTCGCTCTCTCCCCTGGCTGTCTCTCCTCGCTCTCTCCCCTGGCTGTCTCTCCTCGCTCTCTCCCCTGGCTGTCTCTCCTCGCTCTCTCCCCTGGCTGTCTCTCCTCGCTCTCTCCCCTGGCTGTCTCTCCTCGCTCTCTCCCCTGGCTGTCTCTCCTCGCTCTCTCCCCTGGCTGTCTCTCCTCGCTCTCTCCCCTGGCTGTCTCTCCTCGCTCTCTCCCCTGGCTGTCTCTCCTCGCTCTCTCCCCTGGCTGTCTCTCCTCGCTCTCTCCCCTGGCTGTCTCTCCTCGCTCTCTCCCCTGGCTGTCTCTCCTCGCTCTCTCCCCTGGCTGTCTCTCCTCGCTCTCTCCCCTGGCTGTCTCTCCTCGCTCTCTCCCCTGGCTGTCTCTCCTCGCTCTCTCCCCTGGCTGTCTCTCCTCGCTCTCTCCCCTGGCTGTCTCTCCTCGCTCTCTCCCCTGGCTGTCTCTCCTCGCTCTCTCCCCTGGCTGTCTCTCCTCGCTCTCTCCCCTGGCTGTCTCTCCTCGCTCTCTCCCCTGGCTGTCTCTCCTCGCTCTCTCCCCTGGCTGTCTCTCCTCGCTCTCTCCCCTGGCTGTCTCTCCTCGCTCTCTCCCCTGGCTGTCTCTCCTCGCTCTCTCCCCTGGCTGTCTCTCCTCGCTCTCTCCCCTGGCTGTCTCTCCTCGCTCTCTCCCCTGGCTGTCTCTCCTCGCTCTCTCCCCTGGCTGTCTCTCCTCGCTCTCTCCCCTGGCTGTCTCTCCTCGCTCTCTCCCCTGGCTGTCTCTCCTCGCTCTCTCCCCTGGCTGTCTCTCCTCGCTCTCTCCCCTGGCTGTCTCTCCTCGCTCTCTCCCCTGGCTGTCTCTCCTCGCTCTCTCCCCTGGCTGTCTCTCCTCGCTCTCTCCCCTGGCTGTCTCTCCTCGCTCTCTCCCCTGGCTGTCTCTCCTCGCTCTCTCCCCTGGCTGTCTCTCCTCGCTCTCTCCCCTGGCTGTCTCTCCTCGCTCTCTCCCCTGGCTGTCTCTCCTCGCTCTCTCCCCTGGCTGTCTCTCCTCGCTCTCTCCCCTGGCTGTCTCTCCTCGCTCTCTCCCCTGGCTGTCTCTCCTCGCTCTCTCCCCTGGCTGTCTCTCCTCGCTCTCTCCCCTGGCTGTCTCTCCTCGCTCTCTCCCCTGGCTGTCTCTCCTCGCTCTCTCCCCTGGCTGTCTCTCCTCGCTCTCTCCCCTGGCTGTCTCTCCTCGCTCTCTCCCCTGGCTGTCTCTCCTCGCTCTCTCCCCTGGCTGTCCTTCCTCCCTCTCTCCCCTGGCTGTCCGTCCTTCCTCCCTCCCCTGGCTGTCCATCCTCCCTCTCTCTCCCCTGGCTGTCCTTCCTCCTTCTCTCTCTCCCCTGGCTGTCCTTCCTCCCTCTCTCTCCCCTGCCTGTCCTTCCTCCTCCTCTCTCTCCCCTGGCTCCCCCTCCTCGCTCTCTCTCCCCTGGCTCCCCCTCCTCGCTCTCTCTCCCCTGGCTCCCCCTCCTCGCTCTCTCTCCCCTGGCTCCCCCTCCTCGCTCTCTCTCCCCTGGCTCCCCCTCCTCGCTCTCTCTCCCCTGGCTCCCCCTCCTCGCTCTCTCTCCCCTGGCTCCCCCTCCTCGCTCTCTCTCCCCTGGCTCCCCCTCCTCGCTCTCTCTCCCCTGGCTCCCCCTCCTCGCTCTCTCTCCCCTGGCTCCCCCTCCTCGCTCTCTCTCCCCTGGCTCCCCCTCCTCGCTCTCTCTCCCCTGGCTCCCCCTCCTCGCTCTCTCTCCCCTGGCTCCCCCTCCTCGCTCTCTCTCCCCTGGCTCCCCCTCCTCGCTCTCTCTCCCCTGGCTCCCCCTCCTCGCTCTCTCTCCCCTGGCTCCCCCTCCTCGCTCTCTCTCCCCTGGCTCCCCCTCCTCGCTCTCTCTCCCCTGGCTCCCCCTCCTCGCTCTCTCTCCCCTGGCTCCCCCTCCTCGCTCTCTCTCCCCTGGCTCCCCCTCCTCGCTCTCTCTCCCCTGGCTCCCCCTCCTCGCTCTCTCTCCCCTGGCTCCCCCTCCTCGCTCTCTCTCCCCTGGCTCCCCCTCCTCGCTCTCTCTCCCCTGGCTCCCCCTCCTCGCTCTCTCTCCCCTGGCTCCCCCTCCTCGCTCTCTCTCCCCTGGCTCCCCCTCCTCGCTCTCTCTCCCCTGGCTCCCCCTCCTCGCTCTCTCTCCCCTGGCTCCCCCTCCTCGCTCTCTCTCCCCTGGCTCCCCCTCCTCGCTCTCTCTCCCCTGGCTCCCCCTCCTCGCTCTCTCTCCCCTGGCTCCCCCTCCTCGCTCTCTCTCCCCTGGCTCCCCCTCCTCGCTCTCTCTCCCCTGGCTCCCCCTCCTCGCTCTCTCTCCCCTGGCTCCCCCTCCTCGCTCTCTCTCCCCTGGCTCCCCCTCCTCGCTCTCTCTCCCCTGGCTCCCCCTCCTCGCTCTCTCTCCCCTGGCTCCCCCTCCTCGCTCTCTCTCCCCTGGCTCCCCCTCCTCGCTCTCTCTCCCCTGGCTCCCCCTCCTCGCTCTCTCTCCCCTGGCTCCCCCTCCTCGCTCTCTCTCCCCTGGCTCCCCCTCCTCGCTCTCTCTCCCCTGGCTCCCCCTCCTCGCTCTCTCTCCCCTGGCTCCCCCTCCTCGCTCTCTCTCCCCTGGCTCCCCCTCCTCGCTCTCTCTCCCCTGGCTCCCCCTCCTCGCTCTCTCTCCCCTGGCTCCCCCTCCTCGCTCTCTCTCCCCTGGCTCCCCCTCCTCGCTCTCTCTCCCCTGGCTCCCCCTCCTCGCTCTCTCTCCCCTGGCTCCCCCTCCTCGCTCTCTCTCCCCTGGCTCCCCCTCCTCGCTCTCTCTCCCCTGGCTCCCCCTCCTCGCTCTCTCTCCCCTGGCTCCCCCTCCTCGCTCTCTCTCCCCTGGCTCCCCCTCCTCGCTCTCTCTCCCCTGGCTCCCCCTCCTCGCTCTCTCTCCCCTGGCTCCCCCTCCTCGCTCTCTCTCCCCTGGCTCCCCCTCCTCGCTCTCTCTCCCCTGGCTCCCCCTCCTCGCTCTCTCTCCCCTGGCTCCCCCTCCTCGCTCTCTCTCCCCTGGCTCCCCCTCCTCGCTCTCTCTCCCCTGGCTCCCCCTCCTCGCTCTCTCTCCCCTGGCTCCCCCTCCTCGCTCTCTCTCCCCTGGCTCCCCCTCCTCGCTCTCTCTCCCCTGGCTCCCCCTCCTCGCTCTCTCTCCCCTGGCTCCCCCTCCTCGCTCTCTCTCCCCTGGCTCCCCCTCCTCGCTCTCTCTCCCCTGGCTCCCCCTCCTCGCTCTCTCTCCCCTGGCTCCCCCTCCTCGCTCTCTCTCCCCTGGCTCCCCCTCCTCGCTCTCTCTCCCCTGGCTCCCCCTCCTCGCTCTCTCTCCCCTGGCTCCCCCTCCTCGCTCTCTCTCCCCTGGCTGTCTCTCCTCGCTCTCTCTCCCCTGGCTGTCCTTCCTCGCTCTCTCTCACCTGGCTGTCTCCCCTCGCTCTCTCTTCCCTGGCTGTCTCTCCTCGCTCTCTCTCCCCTGGCTGCCCCTCCTCGCTCTCTCTTCCCTGGCTGTCTCTCCTCGCTCTCTCTCCCCTGGCTGCCCCTCCTCGCTCTCTCTTCCCTGGCTGTCTCTCCTCGCTCTCTCTCCCCTGGCTGCCCCTCCTCGCTCTCTCTTCCCTGGCTGTCTCTCCTCGCTCTCTCTCCCCTGGCTGTCTCTCCTCGCTCTCTCTCCCCTGGCTGTCTCTCCTCGCCCTCTCTCCCCTGGCTGTCTCTCCCCGCTCTCTCTCCTGGCTCACCTTGCTGTATTTTGCAACAGGCCGTTTAAACTAATTTTCTTTGATGTAATACATAGAACTTCAACCACCAGTATCCACCAGAAAGGTGTCCGGGAGCAGACTCAGGCTAATAGGTAATTGCGTGTGCACAGCTAAATAAATATACCAAAATGGAATAAAGGGGCCAACCTTTATTCCAAGATCCGCCACCCCTGACATGTTTCTGGTGTTTTGTCACATTTGCCGAGTGCGTTACGTAGGTCAGCAAACGTAACGCGGTCGGCAATATTACAGAACACCGGGAAGCTAGACCTCGTACTTCTCCTCCTTTCGTGCTCAGCCCTCCATCCTAATGTCGCTGCTCTCATGCCGTCGGCCTCTGCCTTCATGTGTCAGACGCAGCAGACGGGGGAGGGGCTAAACAGGAGGATTCTCGGGATAGTGAGCCGACTTACAATCGTGATCTACCAGCATCAGCTTTGTGAGCTACTGGTAAGATCACGATCTACCTAATGGGCACCCCTGGTTTAGAGTATGTGTATGCAATCCAAACTTTTATTTTTAACCTCAGTACATTTGCAGCGCGGGTGACAGTTCTGTGAACCTGGAAAACAGTAAGGTCCCCCTTACAGCGCTTCCGGTCCAAGTGAAAATAGTGGTGCTCGCAGTGACAATCACGGATGGCGCCGTGTACAACAGTCAATGATCAATAGAAATCACCAGCACTCCGTCAATTAAATTTTAAAAAAGTCCATTTATCTGGACTAAACGTCACACATATCGCATAATCCAACCTTTCGGGACCACGCAGGGTCCCTTCATCAGGGCAGAGATGGTCAGATCTCTGCGTGGTCCCGAAAACGTTGGATTATGCGATATGTGTGACGTTTAGTGCAAATTAATTGACCTTTTTTGGATTTCATTGACGGAGTGCTTGAGATTTCTATTGTTCATAGTTCTGTGAACCGGACATTTTGCCTGGAGACAAACAGCATGCAAATAAAAGAGCACAGTACTAACCTCATAGCTACATTACTCCCGTCAATAATAATATGCTTCAGGTCTTCTCTTCCAGGTTCATCTTTCAGTTCCAGTTTATAAGGTTTTCTAATGGCATTAAGAAACATTTGTACTCCAGTTACAGATGGTTCGGGCTTTGCCGGTTTCTCACGTGCTGCAGGTTTATGTTCATTGTTCAAGGGGATGGCCGCGTAAGTCGCATTGTTCCACTGGACAGCTATGTCCCTTGCAATTCTGACGGGGGGCTGGTTTGAAGGTCCCGGGGCATCGGTGGCCAGGATTCGCTTATTCGTTGGAGGGCTTGTTGTGCCTCTGGCTACAAAGCCTACATTTTTTGCCAATGCCAAAGTCCTTTCCATCTGCAGCCTTTCAGCTCTAGACTCTTCCTGTATCTTCTGTAAAATATGATTCTGCAAGAGTCCGTTACTGGGAGATACAGAGATAACATTCGGTTCTATGGTCACTTCCTGTGTCGGCCCGGGTGCTGGTTGGTGCAAGCATTGTTTTTTAGTGTCTGGATTGTTCTCGGCTCCATCTAGTTGCCTGCGGCTCCGTTTTTCGATCTCGTCCAGTAGTTTCAGGGGCTCCTCTGATTGTCCGAGTTCACGGATGACCTTCTCGACCACAGCCTGGGGATATCCCATAGTCTTAAAAAAATTCACAAGGATTTTGTATTCAGTTTCTGAGTTGACGGGTTCTTGCTTGGGTTCTTCTACCTCTATATCATCCGATTCGTTTGAAGTTAAGTCGATGATTGGAACATTGGAGGTGGTGGGGGTATGGGTGGCTGGCCCATCTGATTCTATACTTTGCAAAGAAAAGGGTTTTTTTCGGCATTCGTTTTCCTTCTCCGGACCTCGTCTTTTTCCTTTGACTTTCTCTTGTTGAGCAGAGGGGCTGGATGGGTTGGATTGGTTGGCACCAGCAAATACAGAGTCCAGCTGACACGTTAGCTCTGTCACGGGGGTCTTAGTCCTAGCCTCACCTTGGCTACAAGGATGTTGGTTATTCGCATGGGAGTTTACAGTGACTATCTCAAAATCGGTGTCATCTTGTGAAACCAAATAGTGGTCATGTCCTATCAGGATCAACAATTCCTCCTTCAACGCACTGGGCAGCAACAATAAGTCCATCGTATATTTATCAGCGTGAGCCTCCACAAAAACTTTAAACTTCTTTTTCACCTCTGGCTCCTTACTGGAGGTCAAGCCTCCATCGTCTCTGAAAATTCTGACAAACTGCTGGACTTTACTCTGGGCCATCACGACCGGTTCTGTCCCCCCTCTGATGGCCAGGACTCCAATTTCCAATACGGTGATATTGGCGCAAGTGTCCCTGATGAGTGAGCGGAGGAAGAAGCTGCTGGCTCCAGCGAAAATGCAGTGCATCTCCTTTGGGTACATCTCTTTTGTAGCCATTTCTGGGTCACTGAGCCCTTTGATGTATTCCTGAAAACAGAGAGATGATGTCATTGAGTCGTTTCTCAAATTTATCCAAAATCAAAATTGATGTAATCTTATGATGTTATCTGCTGTGTAGGTGTACATCCAAAACACATGCACTCCTCATCCCTCTTACTCCTAGTTGTTGCCTGACCCGCTCCCCAACCATGCACTCCTCATCCCCCTTCCTCCTAGTCATTGCCTGACCAGCTCCCCAACCATGCACTCCTCGTCCCCCTTCCTCCTAGTCATTGCCTGACCAGCTCCCCAACCATGCACTCCTCGTCCCTCTTCCTCCTAGTCCTTGCCTGAGCAGCTCCCCAACCATGCACTCCTCGTCCCTCTTCCTCCAAGTTGTTGCCTGACCCGCTCCCCAACCATGTACTCCTCGTGCCTCTTGCTTCTAGCTGTTGCCCGACCAGACATCCTGTTGGCTCCAAGTGGAGCCCTGGAACCCACAACTGCCTTGTGGAGGAATGGCACCCGCCGTCGATACCCCAGATCTGTTGCCAGTGCCCTGCGCTCAGCTTTCCAGTGCTGTCCAGCAGCATTCAAAGAGAACTCCTATGTGAGTTTATTTATTTTGGATAGAAAAGGGAATAATTAGAGCTTTTTCTTTTATGGTTTTGTCATGTGTGCCTTCTTCTGATATTTCCTCTGACTTCCTGCGCTGGTCTCATCGGGACAATAGTAGGCACAGGAAAGCTTTAAAATTGGGACACAGAGAGCCATAAAAAATTAAAAGTAATAAATATAAAAAGGTATTCTATGGAAGTCCATGGAGTCAATCCCTCCACCAGGAGAGATTTCTCATCACTTCCTGTTCCAGTGACAAACAATTAGGGACATTTTCCATTTAAGTAATTGGCACCAATAAAAACTTAATGTCCTAACACTTCCTCATTCTATCCAAAAATAAAAGTTTTACTTTATGTAGTGAAGGATGTGGGCAGAGACTATTTCTGAGTGCTGAATAATGTATATGCAGTGATCCATTTTATTTCATATACGGGTGAATGCTGTCCTTACCTGGTGATCCTGCCAGTAACACGCTTCCTGTCCTAGGGTGACAATGTTCGCTCATTGTACTGTATTCATGGAAGATGCCACCCTAGGACAGGAAGTGTTAGGACTACAGAACACCAACATTTCATCTGAAGAAAATGGGGGGGGGGGGCTTGTGGCCCAGGAGGGAAACTCCAGTAACCTGTGCAGGGCTGATAAGACTACTTGACATAATGCTGAAGAGCCCAAAGGTAGTCCTAGGCTCACGAGTCTTCCAGCAGGAACTGTTTTGCACATATGGAATTGATAAACCAATAGGATTAATCTGAAGCCTGGGCAGATATAAAGGACATAAATGAAGTCACCTCTGTAATAATACAACACTAAATGGATTTTTTTCAATGCAAACAGCAAAAGTCCCCGAAGCCTGCTATCAGCCTCGTGTAGTACCTGTATAACAGAGCTGAGACTGGGACAGTAAAAAGCAGCATAAGGAGCCAATCAGGCTGATAAGAAGCAGGGGCGTCCCGAGGCCGGGTGTCACCCGGAGCAGATATCGGGCGGCACCCCGCCGTGATCGTGAATGCGCAATCATCTTTTTGATACTTGGTGATGGATGCCGGCAGAGAGGAGGGGACATTAACCTGGCAAGATGAGGTATGCCGCCGGGTCCCCTCCTCTCTCCTGCAGCTGTTGGGCTCTCAGGCCACGACAGAGTGCCCGACTTTTCAGAGGGGGCGACACCAAAATGACTGTCAGTCATTTTGGTGTCACCACTCCAATGGTGTCACCTGGGTGCGGGCCGCACCCCCCTTGTGACGCCACTGATAAGAAGCAAGCTGATAGTAAGAGAGCAGAGTGACAGAGAGATGAGCTCATCACTGTGCTGCTGCTCTAAATCACAGGTTGTAGGTGGGTCCAGGATGACCTGGGCTCGGAGGAAGTGGGTTGAATGACGCTGGCCATCAGACTGAGAAAAATTGCTTTAGAGGGAAATCTCTGGATTGAAGGGGACTGCTGCAGCAAAAACAATTTTTAACATTTTATCTTTTAATGGTCTATACATTTCCATCTTATTATTGGCTGGAGTTCTGCGAGACCAAAAAATAAGAGAAGTTCATTGTTCGGGTTGACGTCCACTTTAACCATGTTTGTGAAAAGGCCAGGGCCACATTTTGGTATAGTCACGGGATGTGTAAAATTCTCGCAGGAGGTGCCCGGTGGATTTTCCCGACTGTAGCAACCTATTAGCACACACTGTCCCACCGCAAGAGCACAAAGACTTCCTGAATAGCAGTGACTCGGCTATAATAGACTTCCTCATTGTGTGCGGCCAGGGCTTTCCAAAACACCGCACCTTATCACACGCATCTGACATGACACAGATCAGCACATGGCTAGAGTACATCCGAGACCAAAATACGCCCAGTATCATAATTCAATCCCACAGCAAGGATGCTGAGGACAGGACGGAGCCGACATATACTGTAGAGAGGTGAATGGACACTGGATGACACAGGTACCCAACTATCAGTGTCATCCACTACCAGACGGCAGCAATCAGCAAGCCCTTTCCGATCGGCGTGATCAGAAAGGGAGAGCCGGCTGCGAACTGAAGGCATTGTTCATCATCTGTGATTGGTCACGTGGTACAAAGCCACGCTCATTGGCTCTGTACCCTCTTCTTGTGATCAGTGCTGTGCTCGTGCCAGAGTGTGCACAAGCACAAAAAAACAAATAAATGTTTTAAAATGTCCTCCTACCTGGAGAAGGCTGCCGCCGTTCATCCATTTATGCAAACAGCCCATTGTCCATTTAGGGATTTTTTTATGGGGGTTTTTTTGTTGCTAAAGCAGTTTGCAATAGGAGCACAGCTCAAACAGTTTCAGACTTCTTAGAAGTCATCAGTGTCGGATATCAGAGGCAGCGGATTATATTACACAAGACGAGAACGTTCTGGAAATTTTGGACTTTGATAGGAGACTCTGTTTTAGCAAGTGCAGCTCCTAATAACTGATCCAATATAATGTCATTCTTGGTCACATGACCTCTCTGCTCTTAAAGAGAACCCAAACTGTGGAAGGTGCGCCCAGAAAAAGGCAAGCTGAAGGGCAAAGGACTAGCCACATACACTGCCTATAGGTACTGACTTATCACACAGCCCTGCCTCTGACGCATGCACCTTTTTTTATAGGATTATCCTCCTGGTTTGTATTGAATTTTCCAGGAGCGTTTGCTCTGGGTTCAGCTAATACCTGGTTGCTTTTTAAAGCCCTGGAGGATTGCCGAGCCCCCGAAACGTGTTGGCTGCCTTGGGTTTTCTACTGTTATTTGCGGGACCAATAAAATAGCATTATAGACTCTAATGACTTTTATTTGGCACCGATTGGCTGAAATGCCTATTGTTCTCTCTCTCTCTGTGGGGGTGCCTATCTTGGTAGAGGATCAGAGCTTTGCTTTCTCATATCAGTGCTGCCCTCTTGAAGAGTGGTGATGAGATGGCCGATGGGGTAATGATCAAATAGCAGCAAGAGTGGAGGAGAAAGCCCCGATCCACAAAATAAATGAAGCAGGAGGAGCAGGGAGATCCTTGCACTGCATGTAATCTCAGGTACAGCTTCCCCTCAAGCAAGGAGAACAGTGAGCAGCACAATAATGACATCATCAAATCTCACTCCAAATCTAGAGGAGACAGTGCCTTAGAACCACACTGTAGATATAAATCTATGAGGCTTAAAGGAGAACTATGGGGTCGGGGCTTTTCCCCATAGTTCTCCTTAGGGTAACGGGAGGACACAAACTAGCGTCCTCCCGTTACCCTAAGCTCAGTATATAGGGAGCTACAGCTCGCGGTAAAATCGAATAGAGCCCGCCTCATTTCCTGGCTGGAGGGCGTCTACTTTCATTCACTGGGTTTCAATCATGGAGGCTCAGCATCTCTTGTGGGGGTTACCTAGGGTGGTATGCAGGTAAATACAGTCTGCCTGAGAAGGCTCACTTCTCCAGACTAATATCCGCCCATCAAGGTTTGCATAAAGCAGGGGTGAGGGCTCTTGAGAGAAGTACTGAGGCCAACAGCCATGACCTGAATGCACTGCACAGGCACACACAGAGACCCAGTGATGACAGCACTGGGACTAAAATGACATATGTAATGAAAACTGTTTTTGGCATGTTGTGCAAAATATAAGCAGATTAACCTTCAGCTTTAAGCAATATTCAAATGAAACATACACGCAGCTTTTAGATTGTCGGGGCCAAAACATTTAGCACCATATCAATGCTGAGTATAGCTTAACCCCTTCAGGACTGCCCATAGCAAATGTGCAGTATTAAAAATCAGAAAAAGAAAAACGCCCAAGTCTAAGACAGCACGTGTATAGGTCACTGGGTGTTTTTTGGGCTCGGGGTTTTTGCTTCCAAGTGTCACAAGTTATGACATCACTGTTGTCCTTGTGCAGTAATGGATGGAGTCACTTAGTACAGTTGCAGGTCACGTGATCATGCTGAAAGCCAGAAAAGGTTGTCACAGTAAACGCAAACGCATTTCTATCTAATCCCACGCTCTCTCCTGCCAGATCAGATTGATCAGTTATGCTGGCATTGTGTATGTTGCCTGGAAACTGAAATAAGCTGTAATCAATATAAGCGCACGTACACATAAAAAAAAAAAAAAGAACATATTAAAGTGACACTACACTCAGGAATTAAATCTTAAAATACATTCAAGTTCCTTAACTATTAATAAAATGTATTTTATTTGTGTATCACTCGCTGTAGATCCTCCAATCATCTCTGAATTGGTGCTGACACTGCCCTTCCTTCTGGAGGGTGGCTACTTGTGTTCCCCATGTTCCCTGTGTGTGTTGTAAAGTAGTCACCGCTCCAAGCTCGCTCCTGTGATGGACTACAATCTCAATAGAAATGAGTAAACTTAACGTGAGATTGTAGTCCATCCTGGGAGCGAGCTTGGAGCGATGGCTACTTTACAACACCCACAG